AGTCCCTGGATCGAGTCCCGCATCGGGCTCCCTGCTCGTCAGGGAGTCTGCTTCTCCCTCTGACCCTCCCCCCTCTCATGTGCTTGCTCTCTCTCAAATAAATAAATAAAATCTTTAAAAAAACAAAAAACAAAAAACCACTGACTTGGCCAAATCTGTTCATTTTACAGCCGAGGGTACAGCTTCAGGGTTGGGGACTGGCTTTTCCAAGGATGCTTGACTTCCTGTCCAGTGCTTTTTTTATACTGTTGCCTCTCATACTTTTTTTTTTTTTTCAATTTTGCTTTAGAAAATCGGAATCCTTTACATGATCTGCATTTTTCCAGTAAGACTGACACTTAGAAATTTTTGGTCTTATAAATGCTATTTTTGTCGGGCGGGAGCTTTAGTGCAGAAATCCGAGTCTGCTGCTAAGGCCTGTCCTACAACGTCAGCAGCTGGTGGGGGTGACGACCGATGATAGGGTCTGCTCCCCACTCTCTTCTTCTCCCGCTGGAGTTCAGTGTTGGTGTAAATGAACTGCTCTTGCGACACTGGTGTGAGTTGTGAACCTTAAATGCTGAAATGGCCTGGCTTGGTTCGTATGTAGTGACTTGACCACAGTGACCCTCAGGGAGTGGCAGGCCATATTTTCATTGTCGAATTTTGTTATCATGGCATCCGCAGAGAAACCCTAAAGTGGAAGAGGATTCCCTTCAACCTCGGCCCTTTTCCTGTTTCCTAAATAGCCCTGTGCAGTGCCTGGCGAAATAATTTTCCTTCTGTCCCGTTGAGTCCTCTTCCTCCCAATCAGCCTATAGTCCTCTGAGGTGTGTCTTCCATTGAATTGGGAGTGGAAACCAGAAATCTCACCTGAATCTTGGGAGTCAGAATGTCAGCCTTCTAGCTTCACGGCCAGTCCCGGTGATATGGTCAGAGCTGCCCCGGGGGCCACCTCCCTTTCTGCCAAGCCTTGGGACTGTCTGTGGTTTGCTCATGTGGCTTTTCCGTCCCACAGCAGTGTTGTGACTTAGGCTACCACGCTAGCCTGAACCGGGCGCTACGCACCTTCCTCTCCGCTGAGTTGAATCTGGAGCAGTCAAAGCACGAGGGTCTGGATGCCATCGAGAATGCTGTGGAGAACCTGGATGCCACCAGTGACAAGCAGCGCCTCATGGAGATGTACAACAATGTCTTCTGCCCACCCATGAAGTTTGAGTTCCAGCCCCACATGGGGGACATGGTGAGGCCTTCTTCCCATCACCACACTCCCTAAGGGGCTCGAGCTCACTTGTGCCTGGATTCACTACACTAAGGCCACATTATTCTGGGGAGAGCAAGGCCCGGGGCTGGCTTCCCGTCAGGAGGGTGAGGAGCATTCCACTCATTCGGCAAATAGAGACTGAGTGTCTGCTGGGCTCCACCATAGACACTGGGGGTTAGGGCCCTCAGGGAGCTTCCAGTCTGGTGGGTTGAGAGAGAGGTGGAAGTATGTGTAGGGAGGGGCACCCAGAGGGTCCAGCAAGATCAGAGGAGGTGAAAAACAGCAGGTGTATAAAAACTAACAGTTCAGTATGGCAAGAGGGAAAGATTTGGAGGAGGCCTCCAAATGGTGAGTCTGGAAGAAGAGCTGAAATGGGGCCAGATACTCAAGGCTTTTGTTGGGGAGGGAGGGCTAAGTGGGGCAATAATGATGTGATCTTTTGTCACTTGGCAGAGATCTAAAGGATCTTATTCTGTTGAGATTAGAAGATCGCAATAAAAGGGGTAGCTTTGCTTGGGTATTGAGCAAAAAAGAATGGGTAAGACAGACAAGAAGGAGCTAAGATGTCATCCCCGAGGCCTGATGCTGTCTGCCCAGGCTGGGGAACAGGAACATGGGGCCCTTTTTTGAACTTTTCCCCTCCAAGACTGAAACGAGAAGGGCCTAAACAAAGTGAGAGAAACAAGCAGCTCTTTGGTTTTCATTACTCTGAATCTTTTGGTTCCACTTGGGGTGGTTGTGCATGCATATTAGAGTGAACCTTATTCCTGTCAATAGGAGCTACCCTTTAACCTCTGGGCTAAATCGGAAGGAGGATGTATAGGCTTACATAATAGAAATAGATGGATTTTCAGGCGTGGTTGGATTTAGGAGTGGGAATTTATCAAGACTCAGATTTTTGTTGTTGTTGTTTCTCTCTCTCTGCTTCACATCTTGTATCTTGGGCTCTATTCTAGGTAGGCTCTCATCCCATCAGGGCAAAGTGACTGTATTTCCAGCCTGATCTTCTTGTAGGTCCAAATCCAGTGGAGGGAGTACCTGCTGCCCTCCTAGAAGCCCCCACAAAATTCTCATTGTGTCTTCTTCTTTCTGTTCGGCTGATGAGTTTATCCCTGAGCCAGTGATCATGGCTGGGTGTCTGTAGTTGGCTGATTGGCTTATGCCTAAGTCACATGCTCCATCCCGGAGTTGGGGAGAGCCTCATCCAAAATATATGACCTGAGTTGTGGGGTGGGAAGTTCCCCCAGAGGATAGTCAGGCTAAAGTTGTCAGGAGGAGGAGGAAGGGATGCGAGGTGACTGAAAAACAACCATGTCCTCTCAACAAGGGAATGGTGTTTCCAATAGGATTAGTCCCCAGATGCTTTTTAGAAAACCCTGTCCCAGAATGACAAGTGTTGGCAGTGTAACTAGAGGATTTGCTGTCATCGATAGTCCACAGTGGAGAAGGGGACATTTCTATCCTAAAGACAAAAATGTGGAGATGATTTCTTTCCTCTCCTCAGGGAAAACCAAACCATGTACAGTTTGTTTCCATTTCTGTGACTTAGGAAATGTCAGCGTCTGAACAGATGGGGAAGTGAAATGGCAGTGTGTGCAGTCAGAGTGGGGGGCGGGTGTCACCGAGGCCCCAGGAAGCCCCATTCCTCACCTGCCCTGGCTTCTGGTCCAACTTTTCTTCCAGTCCCCTTCTCCAGCTGCCACTGACATTCCTTCCCAAGAATCGGTGCAACTTGGGCACCAGCTAAGTGGAGTGATACGTTTTCTGGTGTTGACTGAGTTGCCTTCGGAGCCAAGCAGCTTGTCTCCATAAAGGGAGAACCCAGATGCCGGGTGCTCGGGCCCCTCGTGGCCCCGTCAGTGCCTCAGTTTCATACTGCGGAGCACAGCTGAAATGCATGACCTTGCACCCCGGTAGAGGACCTCTGCCAAAGCATGCATCAGCAGCCCTGCTGCTTCTTAAAGGCACAGGCGTGGAGGTCATTTTCCCTCTGTGAGTCCTCCCTGCTAGGTCTTGGTTACTTTAAAATCAATAGTTCACTCTTCTACCTCCGCCCTCCCTTTGTGTGATACAGCTGATCAGTGGCTGAGCCAGGCAGGGGCCAGGGTCAGCCCTAGATCTTGCATGCTCCCCATGCAAAGGTTCTGCATTCCAGCCCAGCCTTCCTAGGAGTAGAAAATGAAAAGAGATGAGAAGGCGAGTTTTTCTTGGTCCCCGCAGCCAGTCTGTCCCCACCAGTGTGGGCTGTCTGTAGACTGTGGAGGCAACAAGAGAGGGCTGCCTGGAAGTCCTTGAACTAGGGCCAAGGCTCGGGTGGCATTTTGACCGGAAGCCCTGAAATTGGCCAAGGCCCCACACTGACTGGTGTTCTGGGGCGCTCAGCACATGAGTTGATGCCAAGCACTCTCAGATGTACTAGGAGGAGGTGCTTGGCTCTACCCTTGGTGCCCCCAGAGGCTTGTGGAGCTCTGGATGCCTGACCAGTGACATCAGGCAGCCAGAGAGTTTCACTCTTGGCTCTCACCCATCCTGGCCACTGAGCTTTCTCCATTGTGTCTGCTTATCCAAGAGCCAGAGTGAAGTCAGCTCTCTTCAGATCTGAGAGCTGGCTCAGGCCAGCCCCTCAGCTGGGGGAGGAGGTCAAGTCGGTTGGGAGCTTGAAAGCCAATGGAGGAAAAGGTCAAGTCCCAGCCCCCTCCATTTGAAGAGAGGTTTTGTCTTCCAAGCAAGAGAATGGTCTGTGGGCATGTGAATGTGCCCACTCATTGCTGAGGAAGAAGGAGGCCAGTTCTGTCCAGATGTCTCTCTGCAGACAGGAGGCTGAGGGACACGTGGTGGCAAGGTGACAGGAGCTGCCTCCACGTGGGCCCTCCCTCCTCATCTGCCAGCCTGGGGACTGTGGGTGACCTCCTGCCTATTCCATAGCCATGCCCCTGTCGGGAGACTGGCTCAGGCATCTTTTCCCAGAGGGAAAAGCTTATCGACGGCAGTCCTTAGGGGCAGGGCAGACTCCTTGCCCACACAGATCTGATGCAAACCTGGGGCAAAATGATGGCTCTTTGAAAGTGCCAAGTTCCACCAGATTCTGTGCCCTCTGGGGCCCTCCAGCACAGCCCGTGGACTTGTTCCTGGCTTTATACTTTCTCTCGTTGAGTCAGACTTCTCATGCGTGGCCCAGATTTATAAACACACGCTGGCTGCCGGCGCGGCAAGCTAGCCTCCTGACCCACTTCTCTCCTGCTTTCACTCTGGTGCACGGAGTAGGGTGAAGGAGGGGCCGGAGAGGTGGCCACTCGGACTTGTAGCAGGAAATCCTCTCTGCCAAAGCATTGTGTAGGTGGAGCTGGAGCTGCCCGAGGCACCCTGCTCCGGCCTAACGCTGGCTTCTGCGGAGCCGCAGAGCCTGCCGGGCGCCAGCCTGGGGATGGGCCCCACACGGAGGGATCTGGTCTTTCCAAACAGGTCCCACTTCTCATTCCCTCCTTGTGCTGTTTGGTCCCGGAAGAGGTTCACACACGCTGCCTTTGGATTTTTGTTTGCACATAGAAACTGTGAGGCTTACAGCTTGAACACGAGGACTTTTATTAGTAGTAGTGGGACTCTGGAACCACCAGAAGAACCATGTCGTCTTCCTGACCCGGTGTTGCTTTCTTTCGGCAGGCTTCCCAGCTCTGTGCCCAGCAGCCTGTGCAGAGCGAGCTGGTGCAGAGATGCCAGCAACTGCAGTCTCGCCTCTCCACTCTGAAGATCGAGAACGAGGAGGTGAGTGTCCTGCTTAGGAGACTTGGAGCCCCCCTCCGCGTTTCCCTGTTGAGCCTCTTTCTTGCTGCCCCTCTGGGAGCAGGTGGAAGGAGCATGCAGAGAACGTCCGGGCTGCCACAAACATTTCCTAGCCAAATGTAGCCTTGGATTTTCCCCCTCTGCTACATCCTGCCCTTGAACTCCAGGAAGTTGCTCTTGCATTGCCAAAGGTTGAGCTCTATTTTGAGCTTTTGCAAATGCTTTTTTTCTTGCCCCTCTACACACATTTAATCAAAATGGCACTTGGCAGCTGTGTGAACAATATTGTGTCTCTGAAGCCACCCCCTCATGCCTGGCTTTTTCCAGCATTTTCAAACAAACAGAGGCCTTTGACTTTGACACTTAAAACATCTCCATCCTCTTAGAAAAGGGGGACTTTCTTCTGGGCCCAGTGTCTTTGCTTTTAACTAGTTCAAAAGGGCAGCACGATTAATCATCCAGCTTCTTTCTTTTGTGCTCACGGGATTTCTTCCTTGGCATCTCAGTCAGTCTTACTTTTCCCGGGAAGATCAGGAAGGACTGAGGGTGGGGCCACTTCGTTTGCGAATGGAGGAGCAAATCCACTGATTTGCTGAAGGTCATGAAACAAGAGCGCGGGGCATGGCAGGCCCCTCTCACATTTTAACTAGCTCTTTACATCATGAGGTTGGTTTGGATTTGTTTTATTCTCTCCATTAGCACTTCCCTTATAGCTCAGAGCTAATACTAAACTTAAAAAGTCAACACTAAATATAAGAGCTGGGTCAAATACCTAGCATGAAGAGGGGGGTGGTTTTGAGGTCCTCCCTGGAGAGAGGAGCACTGTAAAACAAGAGTCCATGTGATGGCCACGTCAGTCACTCAGCACTGTCCGATGGGGAGCAGAGCTGCCTCTTCTGACAGCAGCCCCCGGTCCCTTGCAGCCACTCCTCTCCCACTCCTCCCAGCTTCTCCATCACCTGCCCCTCTGCAGCCTGCCCCTCACGCGTTATATTGGCTCTTGTCGTGGCAGGTAAAGAAGACGATGGAAGCCACTCTGCAGACCATCCAGGACATTGTGACTGTTGAGGATTTTGATGTGTCCGACTGCTTCCAGTACAGCAACTCTATGGAATCCGTCAAGTCCACGGTCTCAGAAACCTTCATGAGCAAGCCCAGCATCGCCAAGAGGAGAGCCAACCAGCAAGAGACGGAGCAGTTCTATTTCACGGTGAGGGGGCTCAGTGGCTCTGGAGGAACCCCTGCAGCCCACAGGGAGACTTGGAACCTGGAGCCCTTGTCAAATGTTGGAAGCGCAGTCTTTGAATATCTTGATTTGGATCTGGGCATATTCGGAGACCATTCCTCAACTTCAGTTAAGACACAGATATCTCTAAGTTGTATGTGTCTAACAGGGACCCCCAAGAGAAGGGTGCTCCCATGTACACTGCCAGGAAGAAAAGGAATTTTCTTTTTTTCCTTCCCCCAGAAGACTTTTTTTTTTTTAAGAATTTTTGTTAAGCATCTAGTAGGCTTCTGTTGGAACGTTTCCTTCTCAGCCATAGGGGGGTCACGAAAGGAGACCTTTATTTCTTAGTTCTTGGGAACTACATCCAAATATTCTGGCTAACACCCATCTTATTTCTAAAGTTGATAATCTCTGCTAGGTGATGCAATGACTTTTTTTATAATTTTTGCTGATGGGAAACTATCTTTCATAATTATGACTAAAATTCAAAAGGACAGGTAATGTGCAGGGTCAGTGGTTTGCAGAGAATTCCAAAACACTGTATTTCCTTATCCATGTATCTCCCACTCTTCTGTTAGACAAACGGACCCAGTTTTTTTTCAAGTTGTGTTAACAGTCCTTGGGAAGGTTGCTGACTGGTCTTTGGTGCTGCTTTTTAATAATTAAGTTATTTTGAGCTTGCCAAGTAGGATTCGTTGCCTGGACTAAAATTTATTTTCTCATCTTCTGACAACCAAGAAAGGAGAAATTAAATTTGCAGATGTGAGATGAAATATAGCTAGTGAATATGCATACTGATTCTGAATGAGAGGGATTAACTTGTTTTTCAGTCAAGAAACACAGTCTGCATGCAGTAAATTGAATTTTTCCTCCACTGGAACAATTTGTTTAATTCTTCTTTGAACACTGCCCTTTCTCCATTAAGAACACTAGTGATTTGCTATCTTCCCTAAAAAAAGAAATCTGTTTTTTTTACTTAAGCTAAGAATTTTTCACATTTTTTTTTAATCCTGAAGAAGGCTGTTGAAAAGGAATGATTTAACAGTATTATTCTTTTAAAATAACTTTTTTCTTGTTATGTGAAGCAAAACATGCGTATGATATAAATTTAGAAACAAAAAGGAAAAAAATAAGAATCATCCACAATAGCACTACCTTGAGATAAGAGTGTTAATGTATTCCCTTCCTGTTTTTTTTTTCTCTGCACACACAAACATCTATGTGAATATGTATTTAAAATGTATTACAAAAAGTGGGATATTGGCTGTGCATATTATTTTATAATTTGCTTTCGTTTAACAAGTGATAATATTTTTCCAATTCATTTCATCATAACGTTAAGTATATTTATGAGTGAAGTACTAAAATCTGCACAGAGAAATAACGGAATGATATTTTGGCCCATTCATCCTTTTTTGTAAAATATTTAGCACACTGCCTGGTTTGTAGTTAGTGCTCAATAAGTGCTGAAAATTTATTGTCACTACAGTCATTATTAACATATTCATTAATCATTATTGAATTACTCATCAATAACTTACCAAGGATCTTCTATGTGCCAGGCACAATGCTAAAGCTGGGAATGCCGGGAGTGTGGAGTGAAGCGGGGAATGATGGGATTAGGCATCCGAAGGGAGAACTTCCTTTTTCACTTTGTATGTTTCTAAGCATTACAGTAGATTGATTTTTGCAATCAAAAAAATAAGTATGAAAAATTTTCGGTGCATACATGCACACGCACATGAATGGTGGCCAAGATGGGTGGAGTTGGTGAAACATCACATACAAAGTGACTTTTGTGCTTGACCTTGAGGGATGAGTGAACCAGGCAGTGAATCAAGTAGAGAATGGCATTCCTTGAGGAAAGAGCAATCTCTGCAAAGCATAAAGGCATGCGAAGCCCCGGCTAGACAGAACGAGGACTTCTTGTCTATCATGAGGGCTGTCTCGCCACCCCAAGCTTTCTTATCTCGGGAGGTTGTTGAACACTCTAGAGGCTTTTAATAATAGGATTGTTTGGCTGGTCTGTCTGCACTGCTTAGATATAACACTACTTAATGACCCAATCTCATTACATTGCAGAAGATTTCCATTTTTTATTAAATAAGAAATTTTGACATAAAAGTCTGTATTTGAGACCGTCAGAATTACTTTTTGGCTTTCAGTGAAGCAATGACCATGTGTATGCAAGTTGACCTTTAGTAAGAGCAGGGATGACCATATTCAAACCGGTGACCTCTCAAATCCTGCCCACCCTTTCACCCCTAGCCCACTTCCTGTCTTTTATGGCTGGAGTGCTACTTATCAAAATTGTGTGCAAATTTCCATAGCCAACAGGAACGTTTTTTGTCTGGGCTTCTGTAGTATTCGATGTATAAGAGAATTCATCATGTTCGTGACTGGTGCTGGGAATGCATCAAATAATTCATTTCATGATAAAAGGCCTTCTTGGGGGTGGTGAAACGGACATTTCAGAAAAGGGGAGCGTGCATATTAGCATGACTGCCTGTGCTTGCCAAACCATACGAAGCCCACAGAACTGCAGGTGTGCTTTTCCTGGTCTCTTGTCTCCACAGACGTCGCCCCTGGTTTTTTCTGTGTCCTTCAAAAACATCAGAGTAGCGCATCCTGGAAGCTCCCTTCTCTTGGAAAGTTGGGAAGAGGTCCCTTACAATGGCTTTGACTTGTAGGTAGTGTGCCTAGCAACCCAGAGGGCTGCTAGAAAGCTGTCTAGCCGTTCTCGGCTGTCATCAGATTGACCTGCCCAGATGACATCGATACAAAGTGACTCTTGATTTTGGCTCAGCTCATGATCTTAGGGTGACGAGATCGGGCCCCTTGATGGGCTCCGCGCAGGGTGTGGAGCGTCCTTAGGATTCTCTCTCTCCCTCTGCACCACTGGCTGCCCCGCCCCGGCTCACACATGCTCTCTAAATAGGTAAATAAATAAAACTATAACGCAGGTCACCTGGTCTCAGATCATTGGCTTTCTCCTCTCTTTTGCCCTAAGTGAGGCAATGTTTCCTGATCTCCTGGGGTTTGCATCACTTATCTTTTATAACACATGATCCAGCAGTGTCTACTTTTTATCCCATTGCTTTTTTTTTAACTGTGATTGTTAAAAAAAATAATTTTTTTTTTTTAAAAGATGCAAAGAGTTCAAAAGAGCATACAGAATAAGTCATGCTTCCCCCCCTTCTCTGACCCTCACTTCCTCTCCCCTCTGCCAGGGATTGAAACCAGTTTCTTCTGTGTTCTTCCAGAGATATTCTATGTGTAGACAACCACCGACTTATCCTTTAATGCGATAGAATTACATTAGAAATATAATGAAATCAAATAAAGAGAAGTATAAATAGAAGTAGACCACTCATGCTATTCTTCACTTTGCTTTTTTCACTGAATTGTTTTCATATTAGTCCAAAGAGATCTGCCTCCTTTTTAAATCGCTGCACAGAATTCCGTCGTATGAATGGATGTACCATCATTTATTTAACCAATTCCCAGCTCGTGGGAAGTCATGCTCCTTTGTTTAGCCAAGGATTGTCAAAACCTTATAAGGCTGGCATTTCTCCTAAGTATTTCCCTGTATGGGGGTTGGAGTGAAGAAGGAGTTAAAGGTCATGGCTGATAAAATAAACTGCCTGAATCCTTGGGCGCAGAATTGGTAAGAACATAGGGGAGAAGATGGCACCTTGGCCATTGGGGCAGTGCCCTAGGCCTAGATTTGGTGTGGTCCAAGATCTTTTTTTTATCTTGGTCTTTTCCTACAGGCACTCAGGAAACATGTGCTAAGTAGGTACCTACTGAGCCCCTACCCTGTCAGTTAAAGAGGGAGATGGCTGCCTGTTGCAGGTCTGCTCTATCACATACTCTGTCTGACAGCCGTTTCCTGCTTTACAAATTGAGAAGAGGAGAGGAAGGTCAGTGTGCCTGGAGGGGGAGAAGCAACCACCCCAGAATGACATTCATTTGTCTCTGTGCATGGGGCTGGCTAGACACGGCTCCCTCCTCCCACCCGCCGCACCCCTTTGTAGCCTTCAGTTCATACAGATTAAATCCAAGGCATAGGGGCGCCTGGGTGGCTCAGACAGTTAAGCATCTGCCTTCGGCTCAGGTCATGATCCC